GTCATTCACTCAGTGCACACACCTTATATCATAACAGCCTATTGCACTGGGAATGGAAGAAGTCTGATCCAATAACCCTGTTCCCGTTTTGTAGAAGGACCTTAATACTTCCATACAGTGAAATCTAAAATGCTCACAGAGCCCTGAGGACAAAGCATCAGATGTCATCAAGAGGAACACAGGCTGCCATGCACAATTTCAATATCTAGCATTTATTCAATTTCTTTTTCTTTCTTTTCTTGTGCCTTGTGGGCACACTTTTTTTTTTCTTTCTGTTAATAAGCTGTGTTTTTTTCACTTTCACCCCCTGGTATCCATTTCTCTCATTGGTAAAAGAAAAGGGAATTATTGAAGCCATTTCTGCTTAGAGGAAATGCTCATTCCAGGGCATTTTCTCCTGAAACTTGTCTCAAAACCAAGACACATGCTTTACGCAGTACCCTGGCTTTACTAAATCTGCCAGTAGTATCTCTGGCACCACTGTAGAAATTGCCTCTGCAAACAGAAAGCCCATGTTATACTGGCCATCCTGAGCTGGTAACTTTGAAGGTTTGTCCATGTTTCTAGCACTGGACAGGGGGAAGTGGCTTGCTTACATATCATTCAGTTCAAACCTTCATGAGGCTGTTCTTTTTATACTGCTTCTATTCAGAATGAATTTGGTGCTTTGAAACTTGGGCATTAATTTTTTCCTAATAAGATATCATCATAAAACATGCAATTTAGTGCTTCGTTTCTTCCAATTTCCATACAGGAATCCGACTCTGCTAAATTTGAGCTTCAATCCCCCTGGCCCTTCATGTAACTCGTGCTGTAGACTATGAAGGGTTACCGACCCATAGCAAATAAATTAATAAGCTTGCATAATTATATTTGGGTCATTTTATTTCAGACCGTGAAATCAAAATCTCTGTTCACATTAGTGCAGGAATTGCTCTAACTAGCCATTGGGGCTCCCTTGATATACCATCTGCAAATGCAGCAGACTGGCACCTGCTGGACCAAAGAATCCATGCTCATAGATTGCATGCATGTTTGGTTTTTTTTTCCATTACCTTTTCTGGGCATCAACTTTGAATCCTATTTCTGTCCATTTCCTGTCTCAAAAGAGAGATTCTGCTTCACAGCATGATCTTTGTCTTTTGTAGTCAACAGTTGCTGAAAAGTCTCACACTGCTACCAGGTAGGTCAGATTACTTGTCCTCCAGCTGTCTTGGGGTTCAGTGCAGAATGTGTTGGCACAGCCACCAGAGAGGACTCTTAGAAAGCCTGGGAAGTAAGGCTGTGCTTCTCATGGGAAAATGTGTCATAGCACTGTGGCTTATCCCATTTCTCTTGGTCTCCTATGCATCCTCTGCTAAAAGGACACAGTCTTTATGAGTCTTTGGAGGTTCTTACTTGGCTCCTCTTGGCTCCATTTCACCTCATGGTCACTTTAAATTGGAGGCCTGATAAAGTCCTGCATCTTGGATTGCTGCTGTTCCTGGCAATCTGACTGAGCTTGAAAAATAGTTCTAACTTCTATACCTTGTAGTGTGATCACACATGATGAGGTTGGTAAGGGTAACATCTAAGTTACTGTGATCACCACAATAGACACCTTGGGATCCATCATGGAGACATGTCCATTACACACAGCATGGAGTCATGAAGAGGGATCTTCCTGCTTCTGCTGGAAGGGCCAAAACAGAACCAGAACCGTCATTCCATGTATTTCACCACTGCAGAGGCTCACAGAACACTATTTCTGCCCATAACAAACAACAACATGGACAGCCTGTCAAGTGACTGACCACCTGGCATCTCTTGAAAAAACAGCTGCACAGAGATGTCTTGTGAGGTGGGCCAGCTGCCATCCACAGCTGGATGTGAATTGCCCACACACACCATGGTGAGGAGCATGAGAGGATTTTAGTTGAGAAAATAGAATTGGAATGTGCTCCAGAATTGGAGATTAGTTCACTGCATTACTTATGATATATTAGTCAAATAACAGTAGAGAAGAGCATCTAGAGCTGCACGGATTTCACAAAGTTAGCAATGCTACTGGTAAATATCTGTGAGTAACAGGGCAACTTTTAGACTCTGAGTTAGTTCATGGCGGCTATAACATGTGACAGACCTGACCCAGCTCTGCATAATAAATCTCAAAAACGGTGGCTTCTGGATGGTAACAGGATGCACTGAAGGAAAGATCATGTTATATGTACCCTGTGCTGATATACTTTTCCTAAGCATCTGCTGGGTAGCCCTGTCAGCCTTGTATACTGAGCTAGATGGCCCTCTAATCTAGGAAGAGAGTTCTCATGTCCTTCTAAAGGAGGATCTATGGGGAGATAGGTTATGGTAGCAGAAAAATGACGTCTTTCCCAGCTCCCAGAAATGCCTCAATTCTCCCCTCAGTAAGCTTGTTGAAGTTCCCACCCACTGCAGTACTACTTGTATTTGAATAGCTGAGGGTAGAACTTCTGGAATTCACATTTCTATAAGTTTAATATAACCTGAGAAGAGTTTACCTGTCAGGAATTTTGGATGCAGCTGTTTCATATGAGGGTGATTTTTAGCAGACACAGCCATTTTATACTTACAAAGTTAGCAATGATTTTGGCACAGGATGTTTTTGTGTGCAAGAAAGCCACTGAAAGAAAATATTAATCAGAAATGAAAGTAAATCTAAGCAGAAATGAAAGCAGTCGCCAGCTTCTAGCACTGCATTCCAAAACTTTAATTGTGTAGCCATCAGCCTTTTAAACTTAAACCATAGAGTGTTTGGCAAGAGAAAAAGCAGAAATAACAACAAAAGAAAACCCCACCACACTTTTTGTCACATTAAGGGACACACAAAAAGACGATTTTGTAATTTCAGTGATGACTGCCTTTGAAAATCCTTTTCATTTGTGTCCAGCCCTTTTCCAAGTACTGCACATGGGGGATGCCAGGTCCATTGCAGACGTGGTGGACCAGCCAACAGGGGGCAGCCAGAGGACAGGAATGAGCATCAGAGACCGTCACCCCTTCATTGGAGAGCCCAGAAAAGCAACAGTCAATCACACTACCAGCAGACCTAACTGGTCTCCAGACTGATTCATTAGACAGACACCTCCCTCTCTGTCTCATCATTTCGTTATGACACAGGAAGATGTCAGCCTTTCATGGGACAAAAGGACATTCTCAGGAATGCAAAGGACTGAAATATCATCTCATACCCTGGCATGCTTCCAGGACACCAAGGATGTGCGGTCTCCTTAATCACAAGTCCTTTTTTGGTCCTGCTGCATTTTAAGAGACTAGTCTGACTCAAAGACGATATCAAATTCGCCTAAAGTAGCCTGGAGGATTTGTATTTGAAAGCCATCCAGTCCAAGCTTTACCAAACTAGCTTTTCTGAAATTAAAAACAGAAAGAAGAGTCTTGCTTGACAGTGCTTTTTTTTTTTTTTTTTTTTTTTTTTTTTTTGATTCTCAGCTTTGCCCTTGGGAGAAAACACTGCTTTCTGCCTCCATTATAATGTTTTTAGAAGGTATGCTCCTTTTATTTGGGCGAAGTCATTAAGAAGACCACCAAAAGGACAGACACAAGTTACTTTGGAAGTCTGCTTTCACTCTCAGGATGTAGTCATACAAGTGTACCTCTGCTTCATAGCACTGTTCCCACACCAAAAGCCAGTGATTGGAGGATCGAATTAAACTGGGCAGCTTGGCATGGTAACTGGGTTGGTCGCTGGGTCTTAAAGGAGTTTATTGCTGTGGCATAAGTTTGCCAGAGCATAAAATTAGAGGCCTTATAAGTAAGGATTTCTCACAGGATTCTATACCTATGGTGGACTCTGGAGCCAAACATAACCAGCTCTGACTTTCATCTCACACGTGGGATAGCTATAAATAAATGAGAGATTACTCTCCTCCCTGTGAAACAAGAGAAATGAGGAATGTTACCCAATGAAATCACTACAGCCTAATCTTTTCAAAATGCTGCTACTGAACTCACATTACTGTCATTTATTCTTGGCTGCCTCGACTTTCTAGAGCCCTTTTTCAATTATTTCCTACTCTTGAATTTTAAACTCAAGTCTTCTACCTCTGTTTATGAGGTACAGTGAAGTTTTTCTCACATCCACAGGTCCTCCCTTCTTTAACAGTTGCATCCACCCTCATTGTTCCTTTCAAGGCACTTTATCTATTCACCCATTCTTGTCTACTTCTCTTTTATCAACCCCAATTTTCATGTAATTTTATATTCTTAAGCAAAAAGATCTTTCCATTTATTTTTTTCTTAGGCTGAGTGTCAAAAGCTCACTACTACCCCATAACACTCTCCACTGCTGCACATTTCTTGTCATCTTCTAGCTCCAATATTTGCTAGCAGACATGACAAAGACTGGGAGCCACAGGCACATTCAGAAACACAGTAACTGGAAAATAACAACTTAAGATAGTGGCATTTCAACATGGATGTCACTTCAGTTCTGTCCCCATCATTAATTCTAAAGGAGACTTTCATCTCTATGTTATTGTATTTTCAAGCTCTATAAAGGAAGTTTCTCCCAGTTCTTAAGCAATTCACAGCACATATCCTAGTCAGAAAGCAATCGTGTATTTTTTTTTTTTAGAGCTGGTGGATAAATCATATTTGCAGGGTGGTTTCTTATATTCATTGTTCAAATTGCTACATGCTAGCTGGGCCATGGAGAAATGTCAGCTTCTCAGAAACTTTCTTTATAAGCAAGTCCCATTGCCTGCCTAAAAATTGTTGAATCAGTTAGGAAAGCTTTTGTTCCACTTCCTTTCTTTCTTTCTCTAAGGGACGCAGCTGGCCCTCTCCTGAGCTCCCTCAAACACCTTGAATTTGTGAATGGCTACAAAGAGGCATTCTCACTAGTTTCTAGAGGCATTTGTTAGCAACATTGAGCAAGAACAAGATACTCAAGGTCTGCCAACACATGTGAAAGACTGAGATGGCTCAAGCCCCACATAAGCAAAATACATGTCTCTTTACACATTATTGCTCCAAGTCAGCCCCAGTTTATTGTCCATCAAAACCAAAGACTGTCTACCCAACTCACTGGGACCCAGATAACATATTTCAGAAATTCTCCTGAGAAAGAGCAGGGGCATTAGCAAAGCAGCACATGAATTTAAGCAGGCTTGATCCTCTTTAGTGTACACTCTGAGCCTGGGGCCCACTAAGAACCTGCTGATCACTTAATCTGCCTATCTGGAGGATCTGTATATATATGAGATAATCCTGGTAATCAAGAGTGTAGATAATAGCATTATTATTTTATTCCCATAAACATTTTAAAATAAATGTTTTCTTCTCCAGTGCAATCTGATAGGTAAGATTCATGCACTCAGAAAACAGACCTGCCAGAAAACTGTGGAAATGTAATAGGAATAAAAGCAAGGATAAAGTATCTCAGAAGGCAAAACACACTAAGTAAAAACATTTTGACTGGATACCTGTTTTCCAATCTTTAGGTGTAATCAGAAATTACTGATAAACAACATAAAACTCCCATGAGAGGTGTCAGAAAGCTTAGCCATATTTACAAACTGTAGTTGTGTACCCAGAAACCTTGGACCATGACAGGCAGGAGCGGGAGGCAAAAGGAGACTGAGGTGTAGCTAAGAGAAAGGCTGACAACTCTCTCTATCCAGGGGTTGGGGAGCTGGGAATATTGGGGCAGTGGGGGACAGGAGAGAAAGCCCCTTGCCAAGAAGGGCAGTCCACGCCTGGCATGCTGGTGAGTGATCACAGCAGTTGCAGTCCTATTCTGGTGCCCCCCTTAGAAATGCAGTATCTGCCCAAGCCCTAGTTAGCCCATTATGTCACCATTAAAGCCAAAGAAGAATGTTGACAACTCAAAGACAGGACTGCAGGATGAAGTGTTACCTCTATAGCTCAGTTGGTGAGAGTGGAAAGTCCAGTCCTCTCTTAGGGCTGTAACTACAGCAGAGCAGGAGCAAATCCTGTTAATGGAGTTTCTCCTAGCCTTTGCATGTCTGAAGAAATGGACTCTTGATCTTTCCTGGTAGAATTTCCTTCTGATCAGATTTTCATTCTGATGGTCCAATTCCTAAGGGAATTGTAGCAAGGACCAGAGGTCACTGCTATGACAAAGCATAGGTTTGGGAGCAGCAGTTATTGACAAGCTTCTGTTCAGTGAGCACCAGAATAATCCCTAAATCATCAAGGGAAACTCAGGTCACCTTCCATTCCACACATCTCTAACTGTGGTTTATTAATAGACTGAATACATTTGCTATTTCTACATATGGTTAGTCTGTTCCATTTAATTTATTTTGGGTTTGTTTTGTTGGGGTTTTTGGGGTTTTTTTGGAGGGGGTTACTGTAAAATGAACTATACTTATTTTGTATCACTCTCCCTGAAAAAAATCTCTGCAGTCTTACCAGTTTCCCAAACTTCTGCAGCCTTCACTCACGTGGTGTAGGATGGGGCTTGCAAGGGAAGAACTTTCTCTACAGCCAGGCACTCCTGTTTCTCATTGGTTTTAAATTGCAAATTTATAATGAGGGATACACCTAGGAAGGAATGAGATTTATTTGAAATTTAACAGTGGAATCTGGCTTCTCAGAGTTCTAGCCATTAGACTACAGCAAAACATTTTGTGATAAACCACAGCACTACAGTATGAAATTGGACTTGAAAAATCATCTACATCATATACCATCTGCAGAGCAGGAATTACTCACCAGGAGCTCTTGAGCAACAACAAAATAAATTTATACATTTCTGCCAGAAGGATTGTGCCAAAAAGAACATACTAACCAATATTTTTTGCTATGCAGTACTTAGAAAATTCTTATTATCACTGTAGACCCCCAAGTGACTCAGTTTGTCTATCTTCTGGGAAAGTATTCAGGATACCAATATGATTCCTTATTTTCATTTTATTCATGGCAAAGTTGTTGGGGTTTTTTGGGGGTTTTTTGGGTTTGTTTTTTTTCTTTTTACTTTATGGTTTTGGTTTGATCCACAACAAAGACAAGCGGCTCTTTGCAAAATCTGGATTGATTTTGCTTTTCAAATTCTCATGACATTCAGTGAAAGCTTAATCCAGCACTATTGAAGTCAGTGAAAGTTTTGCCAATGGCTTCAACTGGGAATAAGAATTTAATTACGCACTAGTGGGAACTGTCAGCATTTGATTCTAGTACTTGCAAATGCAGAATATGAGCCTAAACAGATTACAGTTGGTCCCCAAATGGCAGTACCGTGGACTAAACCCAACTCTTGTTTGGTTTTTTTGGGTTTTTGGTTTTGTTTTTTTTTTTTTTTTAGAAAGAGGAATCTGTTTCTAGAATCCAAACCCCAGAAGACTTGCCTTCTGTTTCCAAGTATTTCCTTGATCTGCAGGAAATTAATACCCATCCTTCTCCTTTTTCTGTAGGAGAATTTTTTTGTGAATAAATTTTTCACTGATTCACAGAATATTCTGAGTTGGAAGGAACCCACTAGAATCTCAAGCCCAAATCTTCACTAAATGACCTACACAGGGATTGAACCCACAGACCTGGTGTTATTAGAGCCATGCTCTGATCAATGGAGCTAAGTCCAGGCCACTGACTTGCAGGATGAAATAAAAAGTTATCATTGCTCTTCTGTCTGATTGCTCCAGGTTGGTTTCCCAAGCCTGCAGTCCCTTCCTCCCCAGCACCAAAGGAGGATTGCTCTTATGCATGCTCTTCCTTCCCTGGGGAACCTCCACAAGCACTATTCAGATATGTTAGGTCTTCTTTGATATTTATTTCATTAGGAGATCAAGTCTTCTTTAAATGTCAAGAGATTGGAGTTGGTTTTTTTGTTGTTGTTGTTTTTTCAAGCCAGGATGTTTACATTCCTGGCTTTCACCTAGTTTTCCAGGTTATCAAGATTTCTGTCAGGTAGGATATTACTTTTTTTCTACTCCCTGCTCTCCACACAATTATCTGAAGTGCTTTGTGTTTTCCCACACAAGGCCCACTTCTGATCTCCTCCAAATAGGTTTTAATCTGCCTGCTTTAGTGGAGTTACTTCTGATTTAGTTCACTTCGGCAAGGAATCACTCCATGATCCTCCACAGATCTGTATTGGTCACCAACTTTCTAATTGTGCTACGCAATGCTTTTATTTTCATTACAGGGCCTCCTAGCCAAAGCCCCACCATAAGTCAGTCTTCACATCACAGCCTGAAGGAGGACAAAGAAACGGAGAATGAGGATCACAGGAAGAGGATGCAGCTGGGTCTCTTTCCCTCCACTCCATTTTCCTGTCGTCTGTGCAAGAATAAGAAGACAAAGTAGTTTTTCCCCAAACCCATTTCTGCTGATGCTTACACTAAGTTGAGACATTTTAATCTGTCCTGTCCACAATAACTCTGCTCATCCCATCTGGATCTTTCACAGAAAGAAAAATCTCACCTGCTCTAGAGGTATCTGCTGGTTTGTTAGAGAAGAATCAAATCTAGTAAAGAGATTAAAGGGGCAGTTCCAGAGACAGATGAGATATGTGGAATGGTTTCTCCTGGATGCATCAATCTTGCATCTAGTTACAGTAAATCAGTGCCACAATGAGCTCAATCCATTTCATGAACACATGGGCTAAGGGTTCATTTTTAAAGCTGAGAGCAGTTTATTCCCAGAAGTTAACACCCTGCAAAAGGAGATGAAGCAGATGAAACATACCAAGCTGGAAGTCAAATGTCTGTGTATGTGTTCAGTTTTAAAGAATTTTTCAATATTTGCATTTTGTAAGCCTTAAGTTAGACTAGATATTGTGGCTAAATAAATTAAAAATTAAACATAGACACCCCATTACTAAAATCTGTATGGTTAATATCTGAGACAACCACCAAGGCTTCTTCTTTCTGTTTGTTGATTTGCAAGATACATGGTTAGTTTCACAATCCAGCCTCTAAAACAATGCACACATTTTACTAGTAGCATAAAATGCTCCTGATATTAGTATCATAAAATATTTTACTTGCAAATAATCTTATAAAAGTTTTCCAAAAGCAAGGAGCAAAATGTGGCACATACATAACCATTCCTAGTTCAATCCCCCACCCAAACAATGATTACATCTTAGAGAGATATTTGACAAAATAACAGTGAATGTTTTTGAGAGGAAGAATAACAGGATAAAGTGTCTGAAAATCTATTCAGATAATGTAGCAAATGAAATATTCCAGAGTTTTCCTTAAAAACATCTTGTCTAAGAAGTGTTGCTGAAACTTCTTAATGAGAAATTACTAGTGAAGGAGTTCTATCTACAAGGCAGCTGAGATAAAGTCCATGAAGAGATATATTCAGAGCCCTCGTCTGAGGCAGGGCAATTCGTTTTGAACCCAATTTCTGCTTTTGAGTAGGCTGAGGCAGGTCAGTATTTTGTCCATAGCCTCTCAATAACTGACTCCACATTCACAAACAGATTCATTGACAATATGCAAGTGAAAACTCAGGTTATCTTTCCCACTCTAACCAAAAAAAAAAAATAAATCCAAAACCCCAAAAAAACCTATGTGTATCTTTTAGTGCAGTGAAGACTTGGAATCAGTATTATCCATTATTGACTTTGAAGCTAACTAATAGCTTTGCACAATATTAGCATTACTAGTATGAATATAGCTAATGGATATTAACACAATGTGAAAAAGTGGTCATTAAAACACTGTAAAATGCATTTGGTTAATAATTAGCATCTTTGAAAGCTTAACTTCTTAACTAATGCATTTATTTCACATATTTATAATTGCAAAATCATATGTACTCATTTTTATAAATTATAGTTTCAAAAGAAATGTGCTCAGTGTAATTCTAATATACGGTTTTTTGCTTCCTTTCTTTCTCTTTTGCACGTTATAAAAAGAGCAAAGGAAGAAGATTTCAGCAGTAACTCAGTTATGGCAACAAAAAACATTCCCCAGACAAAACACAAAATGCCACATGGAAATGCAGTGGTCCTGAGTAGACACCAAAACGCCTGGTCCTCTGTGTCCCAAGTGTTCTCTCTTGGAACAGCCAAGATTTACTGATACATTCAGGATCTGCTGGATGAGCATCATGCATCAATGAGCTTCATCAAAAGTTTAGCTTCCACACAAAAGCTTTTACTTCAACTACAAAAAAAAAAAAGCTTCCATGGTAGAAATTGAATTTCCTGATGCAGGGAATCTGCAAGAAAGTGGTTGAATTTATCATATCCTAGAGAGGAAAAAACTCAAACAAATAACAGCCTGAATAGCTCTCAATATAAATAACAACAAAAATCTGGATGAGGTAAGCATAAAAAAACAAAACGGAAGGAGTGTGAAGGAGAGTAAGGAGAGTAAGGAGATGACATTCCCTTAGCAAAACCTCCACTAGAGAAAAAGGAAAATATTTCAACAAATATCTCCTATTGTATGTATATCATGAGCACAGAAACCCCCTAAGCTGGAGGTTTTCCCTTCTTTTTCACAACATCCTTTAAGCAATTCTTCAGGCTTCTGTGGGAAAAAAAAAATCTCCTCAATCCCTTACTGAGTTAATTTGAAATTCTAAAACTAATGAAGCTTTTGTCTCCCTCTTAACCTAAGAGCTATTGTTACCTCTAAAAATAAAAGAGATAATCTGTTAAAGAGCTAAAAATACTGAGCTCTGAGAGCCTTTTCAGACATGCACAGAAAATGATTGACACCCTTGCACCTTTAGTCTTCACAAAGAAAATGGTGGGGCAGGATCTCCTATGCCCACCTCACAGCAACTCTTTCATCAGCTGTCTGCCAGTTGTCCTCCCACAGCTCAAATAAATCCAGCACAGCCTGGGTAGAAGGCTAGTGCTCAGAAAGTGGTATTCATGAAGAATCTAAAACAATCACCCAAAGGTGCTTGGGCAACGCTGTTTTAGGAAAGAGCCATGTATCTTTTTTTTAGTAAGAAAAGCAGGAAGCGCTTTCAGATAGGAATGCCAAGAACTGCAGCTATGTGCCACCTGCCCAAATCCCCATGGCTGCAGGACAAACAAAAGCTCTCCTGGGACACAGCAGGACAAGGGGTGCAGTCTGGGTGAGTCACTGCATGATTTGAATTGAATGGGAGAGTTAAAACAATTAGACCTAGTTACCAGTAACACAAAAAGCTCTCCTGTTTATCATAAAGAAGTCTTGTCACAGTGAAGTCTAGTCACAGCGCAGTGAGCAAAACTGTTCATATTCCAAAGCTAACTGGTCAGAACAGACAAACTTTTGCCTCACTTGCCTAACTTCAAAGTTGTCTTGCGTGTCCACAGCAAGTTGTTGGCAGAGGCAGGACTACAGGTCTGAGCCAAGAGATGCGGAGCTGACCCATGACAGACACGGCCAGCTCCAGCTGGCTCCACCAGACCCATGCAGGATGCAGACAAGTTCATCAGATGGTGCCTCTGTGACAAGGTAACACAGAGACAGAGAGAGGGGAACTAAAAGGGATGAGAAACAGCAGAGGCAACATCAAGGTCAGAGTAGTTTTCCTGGCTCTAACTACTGTGGGACATTTTGGGCATTTTGGTCACTTGTTTCAGCAGATGTGTAATCCTAAACCCTCTTTCTATGGCCAGCTGCACTTAGCCATTTTTAGTCCACAATCTTTTAAATGTGAATCAGTCTTGTTCCTGGGTTCTGAATTCTTATTATGACGTTTTCCATAACTTGCAGTACACAGAGGAATGTCCTACAATTTCTTCAACCTCTTTGACAATAAAAAGGCTGCAATGGGGACGACAGCAAAAGAAGAAAGATTTCTTCCCCTGAACACTCATTTTGGGAAGTGAGGAGAGGCTGAAAGGACATTTCTACTGTCCAGCAGATTGCTTGTGCTGTGGAACTATTTCAAACACATAGAATTCCCCAAGCCTGCACAAGGTGCCATGAATTAATCTCTAACTCATTTGTACTCTAGAATGTTTCCATCCATTTAGGCTATCAAGGGATTTGCTGTGCTTCCCATGTGTCATTATAAAGTCCTTTAAAATATTTCAATTCTGCTTTAAACTTAAACTCCTCAAAGAACTTTAACTGTGCAGTATAAATTTATGAAGACCATATGGATGATGTCAAGCTCATGATAAAAGTCAGAGATAATCTAGAAAAAAAAAAATTGCACTACAAATTAATCTTCAATGTTCATGTCTGTTTCCACTAGAAGAAATATCTCTAGCAGTGCCTCCAGGACATATCTTCTGACAGAAGTCAGCCAACCTTCCTTGTGTGTCTGTGAATATTCTGAAGTCAATGGTCACTTACACAAAATCCTGCATTAAAGCCTTTTCAACATGATCCTGTCAAGTTCTACAAGGTGCACAGGGTTTGGTCAAAGACCAAACTGTCTTTGAAAAGCTGTGTTATTTCTGCAGGTCATGTTCTAACTGGAGGAGCTCTGCCTTTTTGACCAACGCTGACTTAATGGCAAATCCTGTCTGAGGCTGGGCACCAGAGCTGTGTCTTTTTGCAACAGAAATTAAGATCAAGTTTTATTGTTCTCAGTTGACAGAAACTGTGTAGCACTTATGCAGGAGTTGTAACACACTAGCTGTGTCCTCCTGTTTAAAACATACTTTGGGTAGCTGTACTCCAGCTAGTCATGCTCTTTACCATCTCAAACCAACAATATAATCTCTACACTTGGGAGCACTGCTGTGGATTGACAAAAGAATTGTTCTGGCTGCCTAACATACACGAAAGAGAACATTTACAAATGCTTTAAAAGTGCAATATATTGGTCAGTGTTTAATTATTTCCAAATCTAGTATCAGCAATATTTCGAGTTCTATTGTACTAGCAGAATTTTAATAAAGATTAATTCACTCACTCAAATTTCATTTTACTAACATTGTAACTTGGGAAAAACCTAATTCTGGCATGATTCTTGTATCCTCAATCTGATGATTATTTAGGGAAAAAAAACTTCAGTTCCGTAGAATGGAAATGCATTTCCCCAAACTTGTTACTTCTCTCCCAAATCAAATATTTGTTTTCATTCTCATGCATGAATCATGCAAATGCCTTGTCTTTCTGATTCATTCCCTGTGGACTTCTCTCCATTAAAGGAAGGTTAAATGAGGTGGACAGGACATCTATAGTATCTCTGAAGCAGCAGAGCAGGAGTCTTTCCTCAGTTGTGTCATTACTGAAGTTTCCATAAGCCAGTCCTCTAATACCAGGTCTGTTGAACATGAATTGACATGTGTCCTGCAGTGTCACCCTTCACAGCTGTCCTGAGTCTTCTAGGACATTCTTTGCTGGACTTGAGGTCCTCTTTAGGACCTGAATTTGTAGGCTCACATCTGAGGAATGTTATTCTTTCTCCTTCTCTCTCCAACTTATGATTTTTAAAGCCATCCATTTCACTTTGCATCTGACATGAAGGCAAGGAAGTACATTTTTAAAATCACCTATTGGGAAAGTAATAAAAGCCTTGAGCCATTAAATCCTTACACATTTTTCCTTAGCCCTTGCCAAGTTATGTGCAATAAAACAATTTGACTGTCCTTGACCACACTTGATTGTTGACTATCAGAGTAGCATAAGATATCCCTCAGACAGTCTGATTACATTATACAGTGAGATTATATTAAATGAGTCCTACATTTTGGCTGGGAAAAAGGCTGACCATGGAGATAGTGAAGCCTTTGATTGTGAGATATTTCCTTCCTCCATCCTATTTAAGAGTAAGATCTTCTGCAAATTCTTAATAAGATCTTCTGACAGCTCACATTTATTGTTTTCTTTAGCCTACATTTGTGTGTAGCTTATGTGAGCAAACCTGCCCCAGAGTGACCCATGCTCAAAATGAACTCCATTTAAAAATCATGCTGCTGGCTCTGTGAAACAGAGTCATTTCAATAGGCTTGCTCAGTGACAAAAATCCATTTCATGTCTTCACTGGCCCAAGTCATTTTCATTTAATCACTTAACAGAGTGCA